AGATAGTTTCGTTTCTTTCTTCTCGTACACTGTCCTCTGAACTCTTATAGAAGCTTTGAATCTACAAGTGTTGAACATTTAAGAGGTACCAAAAATGTGAATGGAGGTTCATTTGCCACTTCCCAAAGCATATGTTATTATAAGCATGCACAGAACAAGCATACACAAAGAGATACCAATGGACTGTCAAACAGAATTTCCAATTACATGAGCATAAACAGCACACAAAATACAAAAACACAAGTCTTCTAAGCCAGTTTTCTTCTGGACAGATAGGGTACACCTATACAGCAGCATTATTTCAGAATAACTGAAATTATTCCGAAATAACATAGTGTGCGTCTACACTACAAGCCTTTATTTCAAAATAACGTCAAGCTGGAGGACTTCTTACTCCAACACATGATAACCCTCATTTCACGAGAAGTAAAGGAAGTCGAAAGAAGAGTGTTCTTCCTTCGACTTCTTGCAGTGTAGACAGCGCCTAAAGCCACGTTAAGCTATTTCAACATAAGCTACTCAATTGACGTAGTTGAAGTTGCGTAGCCATTTAACTAATGAAAAAAATTATAACCCTTGCACAGCAGTCATGAAAGACTCCCTCTTCATGCCCTCCCACCCCTGCCAATGGGGAATTCTCCTCCCCTGCATCTAACTCTGCTTACTTATCATCATGTGAATATTTAAATTGCTCTGTACTGGTCCACCTGATGTGTGAAATGGAAGACAAGCAGAAAAACCTCAGTAAAATGATTATGGCACCACCACAACACCAGGCTGGGCTGCGTGCCCAGCTAACTCCAGCCCTGGCTGGGGCTGCACTTCTGTACCACGCCAGCCATGACTGAGGATCTGCTTCTTGTCAGGGCTGTGCTCCTTGCCGCCAGCACTGGCCCTGCTGGGGCTGGGCTCCCTGCTGCCAGCCCACTCCAGGCTGTGCTTCTGAACCTGGCCAGCTGGGGTTCTCTGATCCAACAGTATTCAGACCAGAGAGTCCCGGATTTTAGAGGTTCAACCTGTAGACCATATCCAACAACAGTTCAAGTGAACCCACTATTGATGACAATAGCTATAAGAAAAGAAATAGTTTCCCATCAAAAACCTTAATAAAAATATTTCTGCTTTTTTATGAGGAAAGACACCTGCATCTAAGAAACTTGGATTTTCCATTCCTAAAACAGTAATGGCTTGTTAGGACTCCAAATGCTTGGAAATTGTTTTTAGTACTATTGTCAGGCTATTTAAAAAAACCTAAACCCCCCCCAAAAAAGCCCAAAACCCATGGACCATATGTCTGTGCACTAGCTTCAAAGTGTTCTCTCTCACCCTCCCTAAAGCTTAGCACTGAAACCAGATTTAACATCTGCAATTTCAGACTTCCTATCTCCCTTTACAGATGGACTTTTGGATTTGCCCCAAGAAACGTGTATTAACTAAAAAGGCATGAAGTTACAGTGTTCCATATATATGCGAAAAGTATGTGTTGCAAACACATACTTTTCCCAATGAAAATGTATTCCTCTCTCTGCCTTCTGAGGGAGACTTCTGAAACGTCACCCATACAAAATGCAGCTTTATATAACCTTTTTTATATTGCATCACAAAGATGTACTCATAGTGAGAAGAGGCAAATCTGTATTAGTTATAGAGCACTTAGAAGAAACCCACAGAGCTGCACATAACAGCCTTTTTATTTGGACAAGGAACAAGGATCATTATATCAAGTTTGCTTACTTACAAGCAGGGATTTGAGAATCTTAAATCTACAGTTCACTGGGCACCAGAGTCTCATCCCCTAGACAGCACTCCTCTTCATGTAGTGTCAGTGGATATGGCTGAAGGAAATAAATGTATGGCTTTCTGTCCTATGGTCCAGACAAGACTGGTATCAGCTGAGCTACAGTGAAGTTACTGGAAGTTTTCCCTTACTTACTCCCTACATGCCATCTTCACTCAATACAGCCTCAAAAAAGCAATTTTTTTTATTTTTAAGTGCTATTAACTGAAAACATAGGGATGACTACTTTTCAGTACAGATCAGTTAAAGGAATACTAGTGTACCATGTCATCCTATTGCCATAATTATAAAGAAGTGTATAATCACTAAAAATACCAACAGCTAAATTAAGCATAATTTCTACAATGACATGTAAGTTACATCAATGCTGAAAGTCAGATTTACAGTTTTTAATGCCAACAGAAACTTTTTCAAGCCTACTTTAGATCATCACCAGAGTTTCTTTTGGTCAGTATGTTTAAGATGGACATAGATGTTATCCCAAGAAGGACAACAGTCCCACTGACTGGATATATATGTATGCTTATAATACCTTAAAAAGTTAAATAAGTATTTATTATACCCTGAAGGTTTATTTTGGAAAGAAATTAGTGAAATATGCATTATTTTAATTTAGCAACGCATCTACTAGTGCATTCAGAAAAAGCTCAATTAACAGAGAAATGTAGAATCTTACTGGAGAAGTTAACTATGATTAATTAACAGTTAATAACCTCTTCTATCAAGAGACTAAATGTGTGTGATTTTACTGATCCTGAAGAAAACTTGTCAAACTTAAAATGTAGTAGATCTCCTGATGTCTCAATCACTACCAGTACTATACTTTTACCACTGCCCTAACTGTTCATACTTATACAGTCCAAAAATGAATACCTGTATAAACCCAGTGCCCAATTTAGTAGCAAAGGTATAAAGATTGCATACGTCATAGAACAATATTCTTAGTGAAAGACTGATTCTGTGATTTTGCAATCAAAGGGATTTTTGCCATGCACTCCAATAGGACAGGACTGGGTCCTGAGGAGCTTTTACTTGAAGACGCAGGACAGTCCTGTTTAACCAATTCTTTCTCATTTAAAAACTCAATGACAACAACTAAAGTTTACTTCTATCTTGCCTTTGTGGAACCTACTCATAAAGACAGCAAGAAATATTGCGACATAGCAACCTTGCGTTTGCTGATTCTCAAATAGTTTGTCTGCTTCAATAAAAGGGGCACCTTCAAAATCCATTTTCTATGTAAATGAAACCTAAAAATAGCTAAGTGAAGAAACAGCACCTTGTACCAATTATAGGGATCACAAGCCACTTTGGTACCATGGGAAGGCCCTCGGCAAAGATCACTTCTGGCACCATTCATCCCTCCTACGTGACTTAACAGCGTCTCCAAAAGCCTTAAAAAGCTAGACACCGTTGCTGTCCCTGTGTCAAAAATTCACTCTCTCAGCAAACAAACACCATTTTCATGCAACTTAAATGTCATGTCTGCTATAGGGTTGGACTATTTACTTAGGAGCAACTGTGGAATTTTATAAAAAGGAAACATTTCCTGTTCGTTTTTTTTTTTTTTTTTTGCTTTTCAATTTGCAAGCTAAGGGTTTCTATCACAAGGGGGAAACGGTTCTTTCATGCGACGTGTACTCAAGAGAAGAAAAGTGCTTCTGAGATACCTTCAGAAGAGACTGTTGCAAAAACTTGGTCAATTACAATGCCAGGAACAAGTTTCCACTAACAGTATCAACAGGCCCGCTGTAGAGGGACTTCTGTACAGTGACTCTAAGAAAAGGCTACCTAGTGTTTACATTTAAAAGACAGAAGTAAAGAGAGGGTCTAAAGGGAACAACTCCGCCCCACGTTCCCTTTGCACGGCAATAAAATCAAGATAAAAGACCTGGCCGCTCAGGGGCCTTTCCTCACTGATATCAAACTGAACTACGGACGTAGCAGTTTTTTTTAAAAGGTGGTGGGAAAGCCGAAGAGGCTGTGCGGTGCCAGTGGACAAAAAGTCTCTGTTGTCAACACAGTCACCCCACCATGCTAGCAACCGCTCGGGAGAGAGCAAAGGCAGAGGAAGGAGAGCGGTGCCGGGCGGGGAGGAAGAAGCAGCAGGCAGCAAGGGGCGAAGGCACCCGGCGGAGAGACACCACGGGACGGGAGAGGGGGGGGACGCCCTCCCGCCCAGGGGATAAGCCGTAGGGTGAATGCACTCACGTATCGCTTCAACTTCTTCTCCGGCGGGGACTTTCGGAGCCAGCCCGAGCAAACCACCTCCCCGCCGCTCATTGCTGCGCC